AGATAGAGAGAGAGAGAGAGAGAGAGAGAGAGAGAGAGAGAGAGAGAGAGAGAGAGAGAGAGAGAGTATGGATTTAACCTGAGTTTAAACAAGATTTAAGGGCCTGAAGATCTGAAAGAGACAATGTGTCTCCAGGAGATGGACTGCCAGAATCAGCTTTATTGTCATTGCACCAAAGCACAACAGAAATTGTCCTCAGAGTAATGATCAACACCTGTCTGTTTTTCAGTGCATCCACAGAGACATTGCAGCGAGGAACGTCTTGTTAACGGATAGACGGATTGCGAAGATCTGTGACTTTGGTTTGGCTCGAGACATTCGGAATGATGACAACTACATTGTTCAGGGAAACGTCAGTGTACCACACAAAATACATCAAATTCACCTCAGAAACCGAATACACCTCAGACACCGAATACACCTAAGACACTGAATACCCCCCACCTAGGACTCTATTATCATATTTCCCTCTTACTGGCCCCGTTTACGCCTTCCACCCCCCACCCCCCTCCTGTGCTGAGACGCTCCAGACTGATTCAAAAGAAAGTTAAAAGTTGGGTTAAGAATAGTGACTGCATAATGAAAGACTATTTTGCATGCACAGGTTGGTAGGTCTTCAGAGAAGTTGCTGAAAATGAGTGGGAGCTAGACCTGGAAGAATACACATGCTCAGTCCTGGGGTACATTGGCAAATGTGCTGATGATGTCACCACCATCAGATATGTTAAGAGCTACCCGAACAGGAAGCCTTGGTTGAATGCAGATTGTCGCACTCTTCTGGAAGCCAGGGACACAGCCTTCAGGTCTGGCAACTCACAGGAGCTGAAAAGATCAAGGAAAGAGCTGGTTGCTGGTAATAAAAAGGCCAAAGCCACATATGCAGGGGATCCAGGGTCAATTCGCCTCACAAGACCCATGGAGCATGTGGAAGGGCATTAAGTGTATAACAGATTATAAAGACAGAAGTGAACAATGCCCTAAAGACTCATCACTGCCTGATGCTCTCAACAGGTTCTACACACACTTTGAAGACCTGAACAGACCACCCACCATCAGACTCACTTCAGCACTGGAAGAAGAGTTTCTCAGTGTGATCTCAGCTGAAGTAAGGAGTACTTTCAAGATGATTAATCCTCACAAAGAAACTGGCCCAGACAACAGCCCCAGGAAGGTGCTGAAAGACTGTGCCCATCAGTTCTGCAATGTGCTGGCCGACATCTTTAACTCCTTACTTACCCTGGCAACAGTTCCCACCTGCCTGAAGACTGCCACCATCATCCCAGACCCAAAGAGCTCTATAGTGATGGATCTGAATAACTATGGGCCAGTAGCCCTCACCCCGATAGTTGCTAAATGCTTCAAAAGACTGGTCATGACCCACATCAAAACAACCATCAACATCAACGAGGACCCTCACCAGTACGTATACCACAAGAATTGATCAATAGAGGATGCCGTCTCCTGTGTGGTCCATACCGTTCTCACCCACCTGGAGCAGCAGGACTCCTACATCCGTATGCTCTTTGTGGACTTCATATCAGCCTTCAATACCATGATCCCCCAAACTCTGATGGACAAACTACTCACACTAGGATCTAAAAAAGTTCAATCTGGTCGTCTGGTTCAATCTGGTCACACTAGGACTAAGCCTGTCATTTGCAACTAGGTCCTAGACTTCTTAACAAACAGACCACAGTCAGTGAGGATCCACAACTTCTCCTCCTCCACCATAACCCTCAGCACTGGCTCCCCTCAGGACTGTATGCTGAGCCCTCTCCTGTTCACTCTGCTCACATATGACTGTACACCTACCCATCCAGGCTGTCATATTGTAAAGGTTGCATATAATAAAGTGGTGATGGGATGCATTACAAACTATGAGTCCAGCTACAGGCAGGAGGTGGAACACCTGGAGAGCTGGTGCAGGAAGAACAACCTTCACATCAAAGTGAAGAAGAAAAATGAGATGGTTGTGGTCTGCAGATGGAACAAACACACTTACCCCCATTACCCCATAGAAGGCTCTGTGGTGGAAGTGGTCTCCAGCTACAAGTACTTGGGTGTGCACCTGAACAACAACCTCAGCTGGGGCAACAACACCACCAGCCTGATCAAGAAAGCTCATCAGAGACTCTACTTCCTCAGGCGGCTGAGACGAACTGGTCTGGGAAGCTCAGTCCTCACCTCCTTCTACAGGTGTGCAGTGGAGAGCATCCTGTGCTCCAGCATCAACGTGTGGCATGGAGGCTGCACAGCTGCAGAAAGAAAAGCTTTGCAGAGAGTGGTGAAGGCTGCACAGAAGATGTTGGAGTCAGCCTCCCCACAATCACAGACATCTACACCTCTAGATGAAGGAAGAGGACCACCTGCATCATGAAGGACCCCACTCACCCAGCACACACACTGTTTGCCCCACTCCCCTCATGAAGGAGGTTAAGGAGCCTTAAGTGTAGAACCACTAGACTGAGGAACAGCTTGTACCCTGAGGCTGTTAGACTCATGAATCTCTTACCAGTATAATCATTGTGAAAATAATCACATCATGTTGCTACTGATCTGCTTCATGTTGCTGCTGATCTATTTCATGTTGCTGCTGATCTATTTCATGTTGCTATGTTCATTCGTACTCATCTGCTCATACAGACTCATGTCCGTGCTGCTGTTCAGTGTATTTTTTATACTAGTAGGGCCAACTGTATTTTTAGTCAATTTTTTTTCTATGATCTTATTACTATTTTTCTTTTACATTTATACTTTTGTTAGATGTAACTGGGACCCTCTGTGCACAATTTCGTTCCACCGCATGTACCACATGTGGTGCATATGACAAATAAAGAAACTCTGACTCTCTGACACCAAATACACCTCAGACACACTCACAGTTCTCTAGAAAGACCCACACAGTTTAAAGTAACATCCATGGCTTGGGTTCTCTGTCTCATTTTTATTTTATTTTGATGCTTCAAATATTTTTTTGTTTTGATCGTCAGTGTATTGCATGTATATTGATGACTGTATTTTGTTTTGGCAGTGTGGATTTAAATTTTACACTTCTTTTGCATTTTGTTTTGAAGGCCCGCCTTCCCGTGAAGTGGATGGCTCCTGAAAGCATCTTTCAGTGCGTCTACACTGTTCAGAGTGATGTCTGGTCCTATGGAGTCCTGCTGTGGGAGATCTTCTCTTTTGGTAACCCTGGCAACACCAAACATGACCACATCAGGATTGATTTAATTATCTGAGTTTAGTTCAACCTGGTTTCACCTGAAAGTCTGCCTGGCACACAGCCTGAGTCTCTCTCTCTGCTCACCTGCTTAGGTAAGAGTCCATACCCTAACATTGCTGTGGACTCCAACTTCTACAAAATGATAAAAGATGGACACCACATGGATCAGCCAGACTTTTCTCCAAATGAAATGTGAGCAAAAAATGTTGATTTGCCATTCATAAAGTTGTTTTAGTTGGATACTTACCTGGCCGCACCTGTCAGTGACGTTATTAAAGGTAAACAAAAAAGGTTGAATCATGTCATCTGGACTTCGTTTTTTTTGTTAAAAAGAAACGTTTCGCCCCTCATCCAAGAGGCTTCGTCAGTCTGAGGCCTAGCCATCTGGTATTACCCAGAAGCCACCCTGACTCTTGTGTTTCAAGCCTGCCTCAGATACCCCTGAAGTCTGGCCTTTTCACTAATGGTTTCAAAAACACAAAGTTTGTTTTCTCAGTCATCCAGGTATATAACAACAAAAAAGGTTGAATCATGTCATCTGGACTTCGTTTTTTTTGTTAAAAAGAAACGTTTCGCCCCTCAT